CTGCCCAAAAATAGCCCTGCCACTACATATTGGTAACAAAGGCATATTGAGAACAAGTGTAGTACCGTGATGAGGGACTTGGACTGGACTAGAGAGACCCAGATTCAAATCCCCCACTCTACCATAAAACTAAGAAGCTCTTCTAGGAACAGCTGAGGGCATATATGCACTGATCCCTTCTCATTCTGAACACACACACGTATACACATGAAGCTACCTTATCCCAGGCCTCTGATCACTGATCTCTCCACGTCTGTTATCATCTACTCTGACGGGCAGCGGCTTTCCAAGAGTCTCAGGCAGAAATCTCTCACTTTGTCTCCTACCCGATCCTTTTAAAATGGAGATGCCGGGCATTGAACCTGGGACAATGCTCCCTCTAAGCTGCGGAGTCTTGTGTGCAAAAATTCCACTTTGTGAGCTACTGGCCTTAAAGTTGTGAGCCAGTGATTTGACTGCTGCATAAACTAGGTTGCTCTGGAGCCATCCTCCCTGAGCTAAGACAAAAATGTGTGAGCTGGAGTCTAAAAAACTGTGAGCAGCCTCACACTAACTCAGCTTAGAGGGAACACTGACCTGGGACCTTCTGCAGACAGAGCAGATGCTTTACCACTGAGCCACAGCCCATCCCATTCTGGCCTCTTTTACCGCTTTTCTTTGTGGGTGTGAAAGTCATACTTGTAAAGAGCAGGGGCAACCAAATCCCCTCCAATAAGCGGCTGGCTGGCCGGGTGGGGGGGGGGGAAGGGAGGCCCAGGCCTCTGGCTTGAAATGAAGCCTTTCCAAGCTGGCAGAACCAACACAGATTTTGCAAACCGGCTCCCGTTTCGTTCGCCGTTTCCTTCTGACGCCTGAAACAGGAGTCTCCCCAGATGTCCTATTTGCAAGAACCGCGGCAGAGTTGCCAGCTCGGGAGGATTCCTTTCCATGTAGCAGCTTAGCGGCCCAGGCATCTGCTAGAGACATTATACAGAACATGATGGAGAAAGGTTGCGTTTTTCCCCTTCCTCTTTTTAAAAGTGAGACATTCTTTCCTTCCAACCAACCTAGACGTGGAGCAAATGATCGGCAGTTCCATGCAGGATCTTACGCACAGCAGCACTAGCCATATTCAGAAAACAGGGTGGTGCAAATGAACCTCATTAGGCGTTCGGGGGAATCTGTTGGAAAATGCGGGGGGGGGGGATGGAATGACCACCCCCGTTCCAATTTTGTTTTACAGGAATGCACAGAGAAGTGGTTCTACAACTCTGCCCTTTCAGTCCACAGCAGTATAGCTCCTCCAAAGATCAGTGACTTAACAGTTTTCTTTCTGTAAACGGAAAGAGGGACCTGGGGTAGAAAACAGCCCCATTGCTCATTGATTTTATGAATCTTCCACTCAGTTTCCAAAGGGTTAAGGGCAGGAAGGTACCGGTTGGATCTTAGGGAAAACTTTTTGACAGTGAGAATCGTGCAACAGTGGAACCGGTTGCCCAGGGAGGTGGTGAGCTCCCCCTCCCTGGCAGTCTTCAAGCAGCGGCTGGACAAACACTCGTTTGGGATACTCTAGGCTGATCCAGCATGGAGCAGGGTGTTGGACTAGGTGGCCTGTGTGACCCCTTCAGCTCTGTGATTCTATGATTCTATGCACATGCATCTGTGCAGCCCAACCCTTAGAATTAAACTTCCTAACTATTAGAAAGGAGTGAACAGAGTCTCCCTTTTACTGTGAAAGAAGTTCTCTCTTTACCACTTTCCACTCCTCCTAAATTCTAGTTTCCTTGGGAGAATGTATAAAATTAAATCCCAGCACTGGAATACTGGAACCTAAACAGCATGATAAAAAGTAGAGACATCACCCTGCCAACAAAAGTCCGCATGGTCAAAGCAATGGTATTCCCAGTAGTCATGTATGGCTGCGAGAGTTGGACTATAAGGAAGGCCGAGTGCCGAAGAATAGATTCTTTTGAACTATGGTGCTGGAGAAGACTCTTGAGAGTCCCTTGGACTGCAAGAAGATCAAATCAGTCAATCCTAAAAGAAATCAACCCTGACTGTTCCCTGGAAGGCCAGATAATGAAACTGAAGCTCAAATACTTTGGCCACCCAATGAGAAGGGAGCCCTCACTGGAGAAGACCCTGATGCTGGGAAAGACTGAAGGTCAAAGAAGACAGGGACGGCAAAGGATGAGATGGTTAGACAGTGTCATTGATGCAACGAACATGAAGTTGAGCAAACTTTAGAGGACGGAGGAAGACAGGAAGGCCTGGCGTGACTTGGTCCATGGGGTCGCGAAGAGTCGGACTCGACTGTGCGACTGAACAACGACAACTGGAATACTTACAAGTTGCTGTAGCTTTCAGTTTGCATCTTTCCCTCTGTGTTAACAACGTGCAATCATGCATGGCCCAAACACTGCAAAAAAGCAATTCTGATATGATCATGCATGAGGACTGCAGGAGAGTCTTTCTGTGCTGTGTTTTAGTGTACTTGCAGATGCAGACTGCTAAAATACTGCACCAAAAGAATCTTGATGCAATCATACACATAAGACCGAGGCAAGATTGCTTTTTTTGCAGTGTTTTAATCCAACTCATATGTGTACCTTAGTAAAGGGAAAGGCAGACACAAAGGAATGAAAAACTGCATGAAACAACACACTCAGTATCCCCTGTGCAAAATTCAGAAACAAAATAAAACAGCACCTCACAACAGTGGAAGGTTCCTAAAGCATCAATCTCACTTTGGAAGCAAGACCATTTAATTCGGACTGCCCAAATTTGAGGAAAAATTCAGAGGACAAGAGTGTTAGAAGTATTATTCCCATGAAAACTAAAGTTTACAGTCAAGTACTTTTATTAGCAACGCAGCAAAATGCTTCCTCCCTCCCAGACATGGGAAGTGCTTCCACATCCTCAGGATGTGGGAAAGTTATGGAGTCGTCATTCTCAGAAGCTAAAGCTGGTGAATTTGAACACAGCACAGGAAAGCAACAGTTTAGGAAGAACTCACGCTGCCGGCAACTGCTGCCATAGAATCCTGATGCACAGATACACTCCCCGGTCACTGGGTGGCAGTCATGGTTCACTCCCGCACAACGGCAAATCCTGCCACAGTTCAGCCCAAAGGTCCCTGGCAGACAGGCTGTGCGGGAGAAAGGGTCAGCAAAACAAGAGCTACTAAGAGAAAGGGAGGTTTGGATGCATTTCAGAGCAAAACAACTGGTGCAGAAATTCCATCCCAGGGCCAGCCCACATACGTGGCTTTTTCCATAACAGCTGGAATTGCAGTTAGCTCTGGCCTGAACTGTACATACTTTATACCCACTTGACATGTGAGAGCAATAAAACAAAATAAAATCACACATTCTGAAAAGGCGTAAATGGTGAGGACTAGCATCGTCTTCCCTAATTGGGTTTGTTAGAATGATTTTGAGCTGATTAGAACATGTGGTGAATTATAAGAACAGAAGAGAAGCCAATGATGGATCAGGCCAAAGGCCCATCCAGTCCAACACTCTGTGTCACACAGTGGCCAAAAATACCAGGTGCCATCAGGAGGTCCAGCAGTGGGGCCAGGACACTAGAAGCCCTCCCACTGTTGCCCTCCCCCAAGCACCAAGAATACAGAGCATCCCTTGCCTCAGACTAAGAGTTCCTATCTATACCTTGTGGCTAATAGCCACTGATGGGCCTCTGCTCCAGATGTATAAGAACAGAAGAGAAGCCAGTGTTGGATCAGGCCAATGGCCCATCCAGTCCAACTCTGCCACACAGTGGCCAAAAATACCAGGTGCCGTCAGGAGGTCCAGCAGTGGGGCCAGGACATTAGAAGCCTCCCACTGTTGCCCTCCCCCAAGCACCAAGAATACAGAGCATCCCTTGCCCCAGACTGAGAGTTCCTATCTATACCTTGTGGCTAATAGCCACTGATGGGCCTCTGCTCCAGATGTTTATCCAACTCCCTCTTGAAGCCATCCAGGCTTGTAGCCGCTGCCACCTCCTGTGGCCGTGAATTATATTACACTATATGCTACAGTCTTCCAGAGGTAATTCTTTTCAGGCTGCACTAAATACTCCGCCCCCCAATACTCTCTAAACATGAAGTGATGGCAAGTCAGGGAGATAAGAACTATCTTGTGCACTCTCGTTTTCCATGTGCGAGAGGTTGGTGGTGGAAAGTGCCATCAGGTCATAGCCAACTTACGGCAACTCTATAGGGTTTTGAAGGCAACAGACAAGCTGAGGTCCTTTGCCATGGCCTGCCTCTGTGTAGCAATCCTGGACTTCCTTGAGGTGGTCTCCCACCCAAGTACCGACCTCGGCCAACCCTGCTTAACTTCTGAGATCTGACGAGATCTGGCTGGCCTGAGTCATTCAGGACAGGGGAGCATGGTGGGTTACTGATGTTCAAATGTGCAATTCCCAAAGACTGATCCACGGACTGTCCTATTTGCTACTTCTACTGTTTTCAGAAGTGACAGACCCTGTGAAGACCCAGCAGACCGTAAGGTGTAATCCATAACTGCACTGTGCAAGTTTCTAGCCCTGCAAAGATAAGCTTGAAGAGGTTTGGGCATTGTTTGGTTATTCTAGAAGAGAGGGTGGGATTAGTCAGCACGCTGAGTCGACTAGGGGCAGGATTCCAATGCCCTCCCATAAATCCTGCGCCCTCCCCAGGGTTTCCAGGCTAAATTATGCAGAAGATGCAACATACTCATAATCTGCAGAAATGCAGATCAGTTGCAGAATATGCATTTTCCTGGAGAAAGAACCTGAATTTAAAAAAAAAATTAAGACCATGCTATGTGTCACCCACCCCATCACTTTTTGTGATTATTGGAGGGAATCTTTCTGATACTCAGGTGTTCGGTGACTCTCAACTTCTTATTTTTCCACGAACATCAAGCCAGGCAGGCCTGCAAAGGCCCCATCCTCAGCAGATTTACATCCTTCTGTGTCAGTTGAAGTCAGGGGGTTTAGAAGGGTATAACTCTGTTTAGGATTGCACTGTAAGCGTCTCTATCCCCAGCATGGTTCGGGATTGCCAGCTCTTTTTTAAAACTGGTGGTTCCGTCTCTTGCGGTACATTTATCAGTGGGAATTAGCAAGTGTCAGTGTTTATCTCCACGGTCTGAAAATTCTGCAGCCCTAACAGCTGCAACCCAGATCCCCTCAGCCATGGCATCTCTTAAACACTGCGCACAGGAAATCTTGCATCTCACTGCATGCTGTGTTTCACCAGTTTTAGGTTGCTATCAGTTTGCTCAGAAGTTGCCAGCCCTCCATGGGTTGAAAAGCCAAATCTGCTACAACAGGATAAGGGTGCCTGGTAGGCTTCTCACCGTCCCTACATATGTGGCCCTAGATTAGATTGGTTAAAATCGAAATTGTAAGCCGCTCAGAGCCCCTAGGGGGTGAGCAGGATAGAAGCCGAAGTAAATAAATAAATAAATAAAAGTTGTTTCCTCATTTGGTAAAAAAATATACCAGGAAGAAAACAACATCATCATCATAGTGGCCTTAATCGACCTCAGCAAGTACAGCATGGGTTTAGCATGACTTCAGGGTTCATGCACACGCATGTTAGATATGACAGACCACTTCAGAGTTGTTCACTTCTAGAAACCTCAGCAGGGGGAGGGAAAGTGGTCTTTAAAAAATGACAACAGTGCTAGCAAATCACACTCAAATATACAAATTCCACTAGTAGAAAACACCATCAAAGATTGTCAAAACAATATATTAAACATTTATAAAGTTGGTGGTGTCACAACAACATTTATGCATACTGTAACTGTGATAAGGCATAAGATACAATATTTCCTCCTTTAAAGATAAGACATAAAGTCCATGCACTCAGTGTAAATTGATAACATGGTCATAACCAGGGGTAATTTTGTAGAGAAAGAGGTGCAGGAGCTCATTAGCATAACTTATTTGCATATGTCATGCCCCCTGAGATCACCGGAAGTGTGTCATAAGGCAACACCCACCGCTCAGGCTCCACTGGACTGTTTTGGATTGCTAGCTATTTGGGTGGGGGGGAACGTGCAGATCTGCCCTCACAGAGGAGGGAGAGCTTGTACCTGAATAAAACCTGGTCTTAAAGGTGCCACTGGACTGTTTTGGACCGGGGGCCTGGGGGGGGCTCTGCAGCTTACCTGGCTGCTTCTTGCTTTGACTGAGGGCTTCTGGGAGCAGGGGGCGGGGCTTGTTGCATGTGCCCGCCCCCTGGGCTCTTTACTGCCGGAGCTCCGCTCCTGTGCGCTCCTGCAGGAAATGACCCCTGGTCATAACGTATTCCAAACAGCCTTTGCAAAGACGCCCATTCTAGATATTTGGAAGACCTGCTTCCTTTCCTTAAAGGAGGAAATATTGTATCTTATGCTTTATTACAGTTACAGTATGCATAAATGTTGTTGTGACACCACCAACTTTATAATTGCTTAATATATTGTTTTGACAATCTTTGACGGTGTTTTCTACTAGTGGAATTTGTATATTTGGGACTTCTGTGACCCTAGTCTTTTCTCCTTGCTGTTTGGATTTACAGCAAATCACACTCAGTAGTGCCTGAACAAGGTACCCCCAAAAAGTTACAAACATGCAAAAAAAAAAAAAAAGATACAGTGATTTACCAGGGAGATGTACCTGAAAAGGGGGACCATCCCCAGTAAATGCAGGCAGTTGGAGTGTCCGAAATGGCATAACCTTAGAGACAGAACCTCAAAACCCACATGTGCATCAGAGGCACGCTGTTCATGCTACAGCAGCCCATGCTGGACTGGCTCTCTCTCTCCGGGTTTATTAATCTAATCCTCTTGGACGGAGCACGCTGCTCTGGTTTCCCATTTGGCAACTGCGCCTATGTTAGGATTATGTGAGCATGCAACACCTGCCAGGATCCGATCCGCCATTTGGCCAGGCCAAGCGTGGACTTATTTACTTATTTATGCCTTCGGAGCAATTCGGATGGGCCCACTTTGCAAGCCCGGCCAGAAAAGTCTGCACGTACTTTGCTCGCACCCGTGGCCCGTGAATCCCGGTGGGCAGCCGCACTGGCCCGTGATGTGGTTGCAGGGCAGTCCCGGAGCGCAGTCACAGCTGGAGGCACAGTCCTTCCCGAATGAACCGGGCAGGCAGGCTGCGGGGAGCATAAAACACAAGAGTCAGCGCCGGGGCAACGGACATCGTCCAAGCAGTGACGGCAGAGCAGTGGAGTTATTAAAAACGGCAGAGTGGGTTATTGTTGGAGCCTTCGGGGGAAAGCAGGACTTTAATTTCCTGCGGACTCAGCTGCTTGCTTTCCAGCTGGGTGGTCTTCCAACTGGGGGAACTGCTAACAAGCCAACATCTTTCTTCGGACAGCCCCTGCCTCGAAAAACTGTCTGGCGCTTCACACCTTCTGCTCCCCCCTAGTGTAAAATTTATGATGAGTCCAATGTTTGGCCTTAGCCAGGATTCCAGAAGCCCCTGATGTAGGGAACCTGGTGTTCACGGAACACAGAAAGTGGCTCTAGATGCATGATTCTCATTTAAGGTGTGGGAGATCCTGAGTTCGAATCCAGAAAGGGCCTACTTACTGGGTATGGGAAGGAAGAGGGATCTGTAAGTGACTTTAGATTCCTAGTCTGGTCAGGAGACATAACTCAGTGCTATTATTTATTTCTTTATACTCTGCTTTTGGACTCAATGTGGCTTACAACATCTTTCTCTCTTCCTCCATTTCATCTTCACAACAACCCTGTGAGGTAGATTAGGATGAAAACATGTGACTGGGCCAAGGTCACCCAGAAATCTTCTGTGGCAGATTAGGGATTCGAACACGGGGCTCCCAGGTCCTAGTCCAACACTCCAACCGCTATATCAGGCTGGCAGAGCACTTGCTTAGTGTGCAGAAGGCTCAGTCCTTGGCATTTCTACCTAAAGGATGTCAGGTTATGGTTGTTCAAAACAGTTGCCTCTCCTTAAAACCTCAGGGAGCCAGTTTCCATGCTCAGCTAGCTGGATCACTATTCTGACTCAGTACAGGATCAAGATGGGTAGCCATGTTAGTCTGTCTGTAGCAGTAGAAAAGAGCAAGAGTCCAGTAGCACCTTAAAGACTAACAGGAGATGAGCTTTCATGAGCCATTCCTCACTTCTTCAGATACAGCTAGAATGGGAGTCCACCTGTCCTATTTATTGGAAAGTGGAGAGATTTCAGATGCCAAATGACATTAGCAGGCAAATGACAATAGCAGGTGTGAATGGAATTAGGTGAGATATAAAAATGAGTAAGAGGCATGGAGAAATCAGCATTGGTAATGGGACAGGAAACCTAGGTCTCGATTCAGTCCAGGTAGATGCATTGTCTTGAGCTTCATTATCAGTTGCAATTCAGCAGTCTCTCTTTCTAATCTCCTTTTGAAATTCCTTTGTAAGAGAACTGCCACTCTTAGGTCAGCAACTGAATGTCCTAGAAGGTTAAAATGTTCCCCCCACTGGTTTTTGAATGTTGTGGTTTCTAATGTCAGACTTGTGTCGGCTGGCCTGTTAGAAACCACGGCATTCAAAAGCCTGTATGGCAACTGATAATGAAGCTCAAGACAATGCATCATTTGCTATTCTCATTTGCCTGCTAATGTCATTCGTCATCTGAAATCACTCCACTTTCCCATAAATAGGACAGATGGACTTCCATTCTAGCTATATCTGAAGAAGTGAGCTGTGGCTCATGAAAGCTCATACCCTGCCACATATTTTATCAGTACAGGATGTTCATTTAGGTCAGGAGCCCAGGTTTTAACACATGTTCTGGTTGACATTTCCAACTGGATTCCTGAGGCAGCTCACAAATCAACATTATAACCACCAACTATGTCAAAGCACTGAAGAGGAGACGGATCCAAATGCTTGCTAGAGGAGGGAAGGCCAAGGTCTCCAGCCAGACAGAGAGGGCACTGCAGGATTTTGTTCCTACGAAGCCACTCTTGTCAGGAGCAGGGCGAGATGTGAGAACAGCAAGCAAGCGAAGTCAAGCAGCCTCCACAGTTGGCTGAACACCCACTCTGTTCAGACCCAGGCCACAATGGAACGTAACAATGGGTAGAGGAGGCTCCCAGTTAGGGTTGCCAGCCTCCAGGTGGAGCCTGGAGACCCCACACTATTACAACTGATCTTCAGATAACAGAAATCAGTTCCCCTGGAGACAATGGCTGCTTTGGAGGATGGATTCTAATTCGGGGCTCTTTTTGTAGAAAAAGCCCAGCAGGAACTCATTAGCATAATAGGCCACACCCAACAGCAGGAACTCATTAGCATACTGGGCCACACCCCTGACCGCCCAGCTCATTAGCACATTAGGCCGCACCCCCATGTTACCAGAAGTGTGGTCATCCAGCCAGACCCACCTTTTGCTTCTTATTCTGTTTACCTTGTTTGTTGTCAAAACCCAGGGCCTTTTTTTTGTAGCAGGAACTCCTTTGCATGTTAGGCCACACACCCCTAATGTAGCCAATCCTAATGAGTTCCTGCTGTTGGGTGTGGCCTGTTATGCTAATACGTTCCCGCTGGGCGTGGCCAACTTGGGAGCCAGCTGGAACTCCGTTCCTGTGCGTTCCTGCCCAAAAATAGCCCTGGATTCTATGGCCGTCTACCCTGCTGAGGGCCCTCCCCTCCCTAAACCACACCCTCCCCAGGCTCTACCCCCCAAAATCTGCAGGTGTTCCACAACCCAGAGCTGGAAACCCTACTGCCAGTGCTTCAGGGGACAGGTTTTTCAGCTTGCTGCTCATTGCCAAAGGCTGAAGCCACTGGAAATGTCCCTGGTAAACTCAAGGGCCAGTCTGCCCCTGCACTCATCCGCACTCAGCCCATCAATTCCATATTCAGGCAGGCTCATGTACAATGGACCCTGCAATAAAGATGTGATGCTCTGGGGCTTCAAAGAAGGGGTTTGGACACTTTCCATGCTCCTAACCACTACACCAAACTGGTGCAGGAGGGGGGTGCCGGTGTGGTCTCTGCCATGCTTCAGCAGAGCAGAGAGAGAGAGGAAGTGCAGCTATGCAATCAGCATGGGGTCAGGTGACACAAGGGAGGCCAATAGCATTCTACCTGGTTTTCTAAAGCTGCCAGATCTAGCTAGACTCTCTGTCTGAGCAACAACCTGCTCCTGGAGAGACAGAGTGGTCACAAACTGGCCACTTGCTGGTTTTGCTGGTTGCTTTCCAGCTTGCCGCCAGAAGAAGAAGAGGTTGGATTTATACCCCGCCCATCACTCAGAGTGGCTTACAAACGCCTTTCCCTTCCCCTCCCCACAACAGACACCCTGTGAGGTAGGCTGGGCTGAGAGAGCTTTTTCCAGAATTGTCCTTGAGAGAACAGCTCTGACAGAACTATGGCTTGCCCTAGGTCACCCAGCAGCTGCAAGTGGAGGAGTGGGGACCCAGGCCCGGTTCTCCCAGGTTAGAGTCCGCGCACTTAACCACGACACCAAACGACACTACACCACTGCACCACGAAACCACTACACCAAATTGACTCC